ACGCCACCTGCTGGTCCCCAAATACTGGGTTGTTGGAAAAGTCATGTCATATTTTTCTATATTTATTTAATAATTAATTCATTAATTAATTCATTTATTTATTAATTCAATTTATTATTATAATTTTTTAATTTCACTAGAGAGAGACAGAGAAAGAAAGAAATAGCAAAAGCAAGAAATCAAGCTTCCTGGTCTGGGACTCAAACCACAATTGGCCATGTGGAACTCTAGTGCCTCAATCATCATGCCACCTACTGGGACCTCTGGATTTGTCAAAAGTCATTTATTTATATAAAGAACAAAGATCGATCCGCGATATGTTGCCCATTTTGTGTGATAACCTTTTGCCATCTTTCAGGGAGCTTCATTATTTCTTGTTCACAGAAGGACCTGTCCTGATCTGTGCAAAGCCGAACCAAGGTGTTGACTGACAGCCTCACTGAGTTGAATGTTACACCACGCAAGGCGTTCTGGAGAGTGCAACAAGTGGAAGTCATAGTTTTCTTTTTAAAAAACGTGTCTATTTAATTTTATTTATCATTATTATTTTCTATTTGCTATAAGCATGTGTGCTCACCAGAGGGAGACAAAGAGAGAGAAGGAGGAAAAGTGAGAAAGCAAGCCACCGGGTCCGAACTCGAACCATGTCAGCCATGTGGGAGACCAGAACCTTAACGGCCCCACCGCCTACTGGCCCCCAGGCATGTATTTTCCAACCCTCTGGGATCCCAACTATGGTCAACCATATAGAGTCTGGCTTGGATCACTTGGTTATAGGCTGGTTCGACTCTTCTTTTGATAGAGTCAGATTGGTTCCTGTTTTTATTTCATTTTAATAATAATACTCATTTAAGGTTTTCGTTTTTACGTACACTTCTAAGTAAGTTTTGTTTTTAGTTTCCGTTGCAGGGTGCTTGTGCTCACCAGCAAGAGACAAAGAGAAAGAGACAGAGAGAGGGAAGATGAGAAACCAAACCCACCCCTCCTCCCTGAGGGAGATGGCTACACTGCAATCCCTTCTCCCTCAGTTTCCCTTTGGGATTTTTAACAGTTATGCACACATGCCTGGCCTGATTTTTTCTTCCTTCCTTCCTTCCTTCCTTTCTTTCTTTCTTTCTTTCTTTCTTTCTTTCTTTCTTTCTTTCTTTCTTTCTTTTTTTAAGAAGAGGAAGAGAGCTAACACACCCGGGTGTTCTCATCATGCAATGCCCCACACTGCCTCCAGACTCTGCAGAGTCCTTACTAGTAAGAAGGTTCTCACCAGATGTGGGCCCTCAACCTTGGAGCTCCAGAATTGTGAGCTAAATAAACCTTTACTCTTCATAAATTACCCTGTCTGTGGTGTACGGTTTACACAAAACACAGTTTGAGTGACTAAGATAAAAATTATTACTAACTAGGCCAAAGGTGGCTAGACTCCCACATGGCTGACTGCAGTTCAAGTACCGGACCTGGGGGCTTGCTTTCTGACTTTCCCTCTCTCTTTCTATCTCTCTCTGGTCAAATTAAAATAAATGAATGAATAAATAAAATTAAATAAATAATTATTTTTTAAAAAAAGAATTATTTAATTTTTGGGGGGACCAGCAGTTAGCATAATGGCTATATCGCTGAACTCTCATGTAGTTGACCATGGTTCGAGTCCCAGACTGGCTTAAACTCACATTGGGCACGTGTGCGTGCGTGCCCAAGATCCCAAGAAGAGAATGGAGGAGAAGGGATTGCGGCATGGCCATCCCCCTGGGGAGTGATTTCTCACTTTCTGTCTCTCTGTCTCTCTCTGTCTTTCTGGCGAGCGCACGCGCCCTATAGCAAAAGCCTCTAAACAAACAAACAAAGAATTACTTAATTTTTGGGGTCAGCAGGTGTCATAGTAGTTAGGGTGCTGAATTCTCATATGGTTGATTGGGGTTTGAGTCCCAGAACTGGCAGCTTGAAATTCACGCCAGGTGCATATGTGTGTTTGTGTGCCCAAGATCCTGAGAGGAAAATGGAAGAGAAGGGATTGAAGCGTGGTCATCCCCCCTGGGGATGCTTTCTCTCTCTGGTGAGTACACACACCTTATAACAAAATAATTTCTAAATTATTTATTTAATTCTACTTATTACTATATGTCTATATTTAATTTGCTATAGGTGCTCACCAGAGAGAGTGAGAGAGAGAGAATGAGAAAGTGAGAAAGCAAGTCACCAGGTTGAGGACTTGTACCATGGCTGGCCGTGTGGGAGTCAGTGCCTTAACCACCACACTACCCGTTGGCCCTGGGCACGATTTTCAAGTCGCCAAGTCCATGACTTGGACTGCACAGTCTACCACGTGGGATCCAGCTGCTCTAACCTCCACACTGCCTCCTGGCCCTCATTCTACTTTCATTTATCTTTAGGCGTTGACTGAAACAGAGGTCGACATTACTCAAGGAACTTTTTTGTCTTTCCTGATAAGAAAATAAATATTGTAGGTTTAATATAGGATTGTTGAGAAAATATTAATTCCTACTGTTGGAAATTTCTGGAGAAGAAAGCCTTTTCCTGCCCAATATTCTCTCATATGAGTATGTCATAAATAATACAATCATTTCCTTTGTGTTGAATATTCAGGTGGTTTCAGATTCTAGCTATGTAAATCATACCACGTCGATCATTCTTTTACATAACTTCAGTAACTCCCTTATGACAGATTCATGGAAATGAGATTACTAAATCAAACGGTTCAAATATGTTTGAACACCAAATTGCTTTCCAGTAAACTTCTGTAACTTATTCTCCTTTCAGCAGATTATATTTATGTGAAAGCCCACCCACCATTTATTTGGCTCTCATATGTTAGTCACTATCCTTTCACAATTTTATTTATTTATTTTTTAACTTTTTGCTTAATGGCTCATGTGCTTGCCAGAGTGAGACAGAGAACGAGAGAGAGAGAGAGAAAGCAGCCCCTCCCAGAGGAGATGACCACACTCTAATCCCTTCTCCTCCATTGTCCTCTTGGGATTTGGGGACACACACACAAACACACACACACATACACAAACACTTGTTGGTTTGGTCTACGCTGGGCCTCAGGGTGGAGGTTTGAGTTAAGTGTGCTCAGTCCACGACGCTGTCCGTGTATTCAGGTCCTCATATCTGTAATGACCTACCGCGTACATGTGGGATGACCACGTGGAATGGACAACTTTCAGACATTTCTGACCTACACACAACAATCTCACACGGTTCAAGCTAACGCATGCCACGGTGTTTAGCAACGTGGTCACTCGTTCATACACGTATAGCTGAATGTTACTCTGGTCGGTGTGGTCAGCCCTTAGGAAACTCTGGAAAAGCCGAGAGAACTGGTGAATCACAGCCTGTGTGAGAGGGAAGTGAGGAACACAAACACTCCTACCTTGATCTATTCTCTAACTAGGCCTTAATCACTGAGGCAGTTCTTGATCTGGACCCCTCGGACCATCGGGAAGGTTTAGGAAGACCGCTCAGTGCAGGACGTCCTCGGCAGCATTCATAGGATCCTATTTCACTGCTGGAAGGAACTTCGTGGTTTTCAAGTGAGGACTTGAAAATGTCAATGAATTGCTTGAAATCCCATTAGAGTGTGTGTGTGTGTGTATGTGTGTGTGTGTACGTATGTTTAATTTTAAGAATTCCTTTATTGCTTCGCCGCCATGGTTACGGAGGCCTCGGTAACCACTTCACTCAGACGGCGCACCCGCCTGCCAGCACTCTGACGGACCGTTCAGAGGTAACACTAACTTACTTCAAGATGAATTGAACAAAAACCTCTGCATTTATATTCTGGAATATGCTAATATAAGGCTGACATCTGCTAATGAAAATCATCTAAAAATCATTTTTATTGGCTTTGGAAGAGCTCCTATATTTTATTATAACTTAGGCTCTGGAAAATCAGGACATGAACAGAAAAATGCAGCAAATATCAAATTTTCTGTCTTCTTTCCTTGCCTCTATTCTGAATCAGCTGAGACACGCTTAACAAATAATGGGTTCTGGTCAGAAACATCAAGTACTGGTAACCTTGGTTTCTCACCTAATATTCTGAACAGAAGAATTTAATGTTTCGTCCTGCGTGCTATTGGTTAGGGTTGCTTCTTCTTGGACAGCTTGAACTGGCTGTGCTACATGAACAGTCCGGAAGAGCTGGGTAGGATATGGAGACTGCGAGGGCTGCACTGTCCTCAAAACTTCTGATGGCCGTGCAACTTCCACAGGATCTTTGGGTTTTGTGGCTTTGGAATTCCCTGGTTTTAGAACTGTGGTGGCTCCTCCTTTTATCCCTGGACTAGAAGATACTCTCGATCGGCTTGCTTGATTCCTACTTGAAGGAGCTGCTGAAGATAACGATGGATCTGAAGACTCTATGCTGGAACTTGGATCCTCATCATCTATATATATAAGATCTTTTGGCATTTCCTTAAACTGATACACCAAGCGTTGACCTTCCACTTTTGCCAGAATACCTCTTTGGTAATAGTACCTATTCAAAACAAACAATTTCATCAATATTTTATTCAATCAAACATAAATTAAAATATTTAATAAAGTCCATTTTTCCTAATCATAAACAAAGCTTTAAAGTTGTAACCAAATGAGAAAAGAATTTCTAAAAGGAGGACAGTTATTTATATATAAGGTAGAGGTACATTTACACATAGAGGAAAATCCTTATTACCAACTAAATCTAAAACAATTGTGATTAAAGGCTGTTGATAAAGTATGTGGATTATTTTGGCTCTGCATTTTTCTTCTTTCTCCCACCCTTCTGCTAACTTGCCAAGATAATCAAACCTGCTACAAACCTTGGGCCAACTTAAGGGAACTGGACTCCTCAGAATTTTGAGCATGCATGCATATGCAACTGGTGTGAGTTTGAGACCACCAGGTCTGAGATTTGAACCACAGTCAGCTATGTGGGAGTCCAGCGATGCAAGCATTATGCCATCCACTGGTCCCCCCCTAATTAATTAATTAATTAATTAATTTTTAAGAGGTTTTTGCTATAGGGCATGAGTGCTTGCCAGAAAGACAGAGAGACAGAGAGGCAGAAAGCAAGAAATTACCCCTCAGGGGGGATGGCCACGCTGCAATCCCTTCTCCATTCTCCTTTCGGGATCTTGGGCACGCACGCACACGTGCCCAGCATGAGTTTAAGCCACTGGGTCCAGGACTCAAACTGCGGTTGACGACATGGGAGTCCAGCGACATAGCCATTACACCAACTGCTGGTCCCAACCCTCCATTATTATTATTATTTTTGGAGAGGTTTTTGCTATGGAGCATGTGCTCATTCCCTGAAAGACAGAGAGACAGAAAGCGAGAAATCATGCCTCCCCCCCAGGGGGGTATGGCCATGCCACAATCCCTTCTCCTCCATTCTCCCCTCGGGATCTTGGGCACACATGCACACATGTGCCTGGTGTGAGTTTAAGTCACCGGGTCCGGGACTTAAACTGCAGTTGACTATGTGGGAGCCCAGCAACATGGCCATTACGCCAACTGCTGATCCCCACCTCCATTAGCTTTTATTTGCACTAGTAAACCTAAAATTTATATAAGAAATCAGACAGGATAGCCTGACTGTTAATCCATTACTTTGAAAAGTTAGTTTCAATTAAAATTTTAAAGTTCATTAGTTTTCTGTGGTCCTAAAAGTTATCATGTTTAGTTTAAATGCCAACAGTTTTCCATGAAAGTTGTCAGGAGTCCCTGCTTGGGAACCTTGCTCTTTCCACTTGGGCTCTCGACTGGAAGATCCCATGTGGGGCTGCCTTCCTGGTGCAAGCCCTAACCACTTCTCAGGTGTCTGCAGCCTCCTTACCTGCTAGGTCATGGATGCTCCGGACCAGAAGTGCAAATGTTACTTTATTTGGTACAGGGAAAGGGATTTTTGCATTTTGAACACTGTGCCTCTTTTATTTATTTTTAAGAGATTTTTACCATAAGTTACGTGGGCTTACCTGAGAGAGACCGTGAGAGGGAAAGTGAGAAATCCGCCCCCGCCAGGGTGGCCATACTGCAATCCCCTCTCCTCCATTGTCCTCCTGGGACTGTTGGCACACACGCACATGCGTCTGGTATGATTTTTTTTAAAAAGTAATTATTTATTTAATTCCATTTGTTATTATTCTTTCTTTCATTTGACCTGAGAGAGACAGAGATAGAAGGGGAAAATGAGAAAGCAAGCCACCAGGCCCAGGCCAAACCGTGGTAGGCCATGTGGGAATTCAACGCCTTTAACCACCATGCCACCTGCTGGCCCATCTGGTATGATTATTTTAAGCCACTCTGTCTAGGACTCAAACCATGGTCAGCCATGTGAGAGCCAGCACCCCAACCATATACCCCTGCTGGCCCCTTATTTATTGTCTTTAGTTCACACCTTAGTTCTTCAATACGTTTCATAGACCTGGTATTATTGGTTTAAAGAGGGGTTTGGGGACTTTAAAAGATTATTAACCTGTTGTCAAGGTTTGCAAGAATTTACTATTTCATGAACACTGAGTACCCATCTTCCTGTCCCCTCCTCGGAAGTATTACCATTAAAGGACCAGCAGATGGCGTGATGGTTGAGTCCTTGGACTCCCACGTAGTCCACCGAGGTGTGAGTCCCAAACCCTGAGCCTGAAACTCACACAAGGTGCGTGTGCATGAGTGCCCCAAGTCCCTAGGGCAAAATGGAGAAGGGACTGGGGCCATGCCCCTTGCCCGGGATGGGGGGGTTAATTTCTTGCTTCCCCCCGCCCCCAGCTCTGTCTCTCTGGCGAGCGCACGCGCCCTATAGCAAGAATCTTTCTTTAAAAAAATTACTATTAAAAATACACACACACACACACATCTATGTGCCACTTGAGCACAAAGGGTCTCGATAAGTTTTCTAGTTCCCTATGCTGACTCTCCTAAGACAGGGTATGAGGTCTTTTTCCTTATTTATTTTATCTTGTCACTTCAATTTTGTCGACGTGACTCCGCCTGGTTGGGCTCCAACCACAGCAAAGGAGGAGACCTTGCATCTCCCAGCGGAGGCGCTCACTTCCCCACCGGCTGGGCTCCCAGGAGGCAAGCCCTCCTTTCCTGCAGGGGCCACCGGTGCGGCCGGACAGCAGAGGGCGCCGCGGAGCCAGCGCGCCGCGCCCCCGTGACGTATTTCCGCGTCATCTGCTGCCGAGGCTTGCTCCCATTGGCTGCCAGCTGGGCAACAGGGGCGGAGCCGAGTGGGCGTGTGGGAAGCGCAGAGCCGGGGTGGGGGGCGAGGCTTCCCCATTCCCCGCCCTCCCCCGCCCTCCCGTCCCTCCCAGGGACGGCTGCGCGGGGC